TTAACATAGCTTCGCAGATATTATTTAAGTATTTAATTTAAGATTTCTATTTGCTTATTTAATTATAAGTGGAATACCGTTAATAAGCTTTATTTAATCTTTATAGTTTCTATAAGGTATTTCCAAAAGTTTAAGGTGAATAATTTATCGCGATCTAATATAAGCTTTATTAATAATCCATGTTATATAATAACTGTTTTAAAGAATATATACGCTAAGTCCTTAGTGTTACTTGATTTCTTATATAAAATATAATAGGCGTATTTTATGAGTTTATTTATAATAACTAAAATACTATTATAAGCTACTCCTATTATAGGTTCTTTTAACTTTAGTAGTTTAACGATAAAGTCTATTATAACAGTTTACCATGCTCTTTGAAGTGGTAATATTAGTTATAATTCTCCGTATAATGCGTGTCGCGCTAATTTTACTTTATTATACGTGTCGTATTTCTTAATAACTTCTTATACTATTTTTCTGCTTTCTAGGAAGTCGTACGATCTTCTTAGCCTATTAATCGTTTTCCCTACACCCTAATATCCGTGTAATAAGTGCTCATATATTTCCTTAATAAGCTATTCTTAAAGTGTATTAGGAATATACTACCGTTTATTATATAAGAAGGTCTTACCTTCCTTAAATAAATGCGTTTTCGTTTCCTAATTATCTAAATAGCTATTATTATTAATGCATAATACAATCTAATGCATCTATGTTTCATTTAGCTTAACTTACTAGGTTATATTGATTTCTTGGGTGCCTAACACAAGGTTCCTATTCTTAATAGCGCGTAATAAGGGTGTATTACTCACTTACTCATCTAATTTTAAGTCCTCTCTTTAGCTAAGCGCGTTTACTCTTCCGTTTTTAGATCCTTTATAGTATATAATCTTAAAGTTATAATTCGTGAGGGTTTTATATTATTTAATCTATCGTTTATTTAGATCCTTTATAGTTAAGAACGATATAAGATTCTTATAGTTAGTATAAACCTTAATTTAATGCTTTACTCCTATAAGATAGTGTCTTTATTCTTTAAAGCACTTAATAATAGCTATAAGTTCTTT